TAACTAGGTATATGGTAAGGCCTACGCTTTATAAAACGACTAAGGAAGAGATAAGTAAATTAAGGATGGCCACAAGTGTAGGTAGTCATAGTGGAGAGAGAGAGAGAGTCGCCAGTCTTCTTCATTGACTGTTTACATACCCTAATGCCCCTAAACAAGGTTACATAAAAGATTACAAGATCATTAAGAACCTTAACTCATAGGACTCATGAGTGACTTTCGAAAGGACCCATTTACGTTTATTTCTATCGTAGTATTGAAGTTATACTTTTAATGCGTCTTATGAAATTAAATAATGATTTTCACGCGTATAAATATGAGCTAGTATGTTTGGGATTTGATTGATCATAGAGAGTGTCGGCAAGTAAGATGATGATTTCGTATGGATCTCATCATAAAATTTAGAGCTACTGTTCCAAAAGATTGGTTTTCAATAATTAATGCAGAATATAAGCCAAACCAATAAAAGGTGGTCTGGCTAGAATTTGTTTTGGTAAAAGGCCCTTATCTCACAGCCAAAAGAAAGAGCAGTCCTTTCAAATATCAATTTTTTGTGAACATGTACTTTTGTTTAACATAAAACATGACTTTGTGTGCAGCACATTACGCTTTTCTAATGCTACTTCTGTCCCAGGTAATGGAAGGATAAATGGAGGGATTGGTGGGGTTCACACAGCATCTACAGCACAGAAAGTCTGGAAAGTTTCCCAAGCCATTGGGGACGTAGCATTTGCTTATCCATACTCTATAATTGTCATAGAAATACAAGTAAAATGCTGCAACTCCTATCTGGCTTAAACAAAAGAGAAAATTTTGTTAAAAAACTAATGAGTTGTGCGTCTTCCTGCCGTATATCAAGAGAATGAACTCTATCCAAAATTTTCATTGAATGCAGGATACTTTGAAGTCTCCACCTCAAGAACACCAGACAATGAAGAAAGCTTCCATGGCGTCCATCATCATCACCACCTTCTTCTATCTCTGCTGTGGATGCTTTGGCTATGCCGCCTTTGGTGATGATACCCCAGGAAATCTCTTAACTGGATTTGGATTCTATGAACCATACTGGCTCGTAGACTTAGCCAATTCTTGCATCATACTTCACCTGATTGGAGGCTATCAGGTAATGTAATTCTTAAAATATTGGCTGAAGATATCCATATTGAAGTTACCTCAAGATTCAACGCAGTTCTTTTTGCAATGAAATAATTTTTGTCCCTAAAAAATAGGAATCTTAGCTTCTCTTATAGCTGTTTGGTTTTCCCTGCTAAGTTTTGCTTAGAAATCAAAATCCATGGTTCTTTCATCTATATCTCTCATTCTGTACTTTTTAATACTAACATTAAAAATTCCTGTTCTGCAATCAATATCTTAATCTCTTACTAACAATGTCTTTTATGTTTCAACTCAGGTATTCAGCCAGCCAATCTTTGCATTTTTTGAGCAACAGTTCTCGGAAAAACTTCCATCGAGCTGGACATTGACGAATGGCTTCCACAGAATTCATCTTCCATTCCTACCATCCTTTAGAATAAATCTGTTCCGAATCTTTTTTAGAACACTCTACGTTGCATCAACTACAGGGCTTGCATTGGGCTTCCCATACTTCAATCAGGTGCTGGCACTGCTTGGAGCCATTAGCTTCTGT